GCCGCGCGAGGCCCGCAGATTGGGCCGGTGGCTGTCCGTCCGGCTGAACGGGCCCTCCGATTGGCCTGGCTCGCGCCGGGAGGGCGGGCGCCCCTGTCGCCCTCGGGGCGGGGCCGGCACCGAAGAAGGCGGGATCTTTGGGGTGGAGGCGCTTCTCATTGGACTCGCGAGCGAGGTTCTTTCTTTCAGAATGAAAGGGAGGCGGGGTCGTTGGGGAGGTGGAGCGACCGTCCTCCATGGCCAATTATAATTGCTCTGAGGACACGTCAGTCATAGCGAATGGGCTTGGTATTGGGAGTTTCGCGGAATGGGGCGTGACCAGAAGTGCCAGGTGTACAGAAAGAGTCTCCCTTGGTTCCCAGGTTGGGTCAGCCCCCGAGACGAGGATCTTAGCGGAGCGAACGGGGACGTGGCCCGAAAACTGGAAAATACCGACAGGAGGTCCAGCTACTCTTGCTATATTTAGGGAGAAATCTGTTTCTAAACCACCTTTTCCCCAGAAACACTGGAAAGAGGCCATAAATTTCAAGCAAATTCACCTTTGAGAGTTGCACGGGACTCTTGGCGACTTTCGAAAAGCTGGCTAATCATCATAATCACCTGAAATTCCCCTGGAAAGTCTTTAGATAGCAAAGTGATCGAGAGAGGGCGACCTGGCTTTGCTGAGCCTGTGAGTTAAAACCTATACTCAACCAAGTTACTGGTTATACTGGTTGCGTTACCTTTTAAGGGACCTTTTGTGTGCGTGTGTGTTTTGTTCTTAGCAAGTACCTCCAGTAGTTGTAAAAATATAAACTGAGAAAATGAACTTGCAAAACAGTACAGTGCCTACCCCCAAATAAGTGCTTGAGGAATGTCAGCTGATCTTATTAGATTCCTTATGCTCACCAGATCTACTGAATCTGCTGGAAGGAGCCCAGGTATCCAAGTGATTGGTTAGATTTGGGAACAGTCTTAAAGATTATCTTGTCACCGACTTGCCTTTCCACCCCGTACAGGTGAATACAATGAAGGGGAGCAGGAAAACCAAATAACCCATGATCACACAGGGCAGCTGGAACTCTGTTCTTTTAGAACATCTGTCTGCTTCTAATCAGAGAGGGATATGATCAATAGAGAAAAAAAAATGATTAGTGAATGTGATTCCATTATATTCTATGAATAATTTTTGCATAATCCTTTTTTGCATCAAGAAACTTATACATTCATTAGGAAGCCAGACTGTTCAAATTACTGGGCAAAGCAGAGTCTAAAGGCATCCCTATTTTCTGCCATGGAGCCATGGATATTCAAGATTTAATCGAGATTTAAACTCTCTGAGGACCTTAAATGGCCGTGATTTATAGCATTTGTCACTTGCTACAAATGCTATAAATCATAGCATGAATTTCTATTCCTTTTGAGTCAACATTATTCAGTAAAACAATATGGATAAAATGCATATTATCTTTGAAAAACAATTAAAAGGAAATCTTGTTTCTTTGTGAAAATCATCTCCTGCAAAAAGCCAAGCACCGCTATTACAACAGAAGTGAAGAGGACTAAGAAATCAATTTTTTCTAAAACAGAAAATAGGGAAATTTCAAAGAGGGAGAATAGTATTCAAGTCAGAGTTCATCTCATATTCAGTTAAAAAAATTGAAGAAGTAATTCACAAAATAGAATCACCAAGTGCTTCAGACAACAGGAACAAATAACTTTATATCTTTATAAATAGCTTGATGTCTATGTTTATATAATCATTAAATATTTTAAAGGGTCACTTACATTTTTTAGTGACACATTATGGCATTTTATGGGAGAAATTATATGCTGTTAGTGGTATCTAATTTGGGAATTTGACAAGGTCCCTGGACATATCCTTCACGTTGTCAAGGGGCTAAAGTGCTTCAAATAAACAAGCTTATCTGTGTAGTCAATAATAATCTCTTAATTATCCCCTACATTTATGGCAAGCTATAATTTTCAAAGTGCTTCCACATACATGATCTCATCTGTCCTTTCCACACTGCTGGGAGGGAGGCCAGTCAGAGGCAACTGTAATAGAATAATCTGAGTCCTGGGCAGCTATCATTGCTCATCAGGAGAAGTCTGCTGGTAATTGCAGGACCTGGATGTGTGTTCATCACATACAATGGAGTTGGAGGAAAGCCTGAGAGCCTGTTTGGGAGCCTGCTTCTACCACCCATTGCTCTGTGACCTTGAATGAGTCACGTAATGCTTTTGAGGCTTAGTTTCCTTATCTGTAAAGTCAGGATAAAAATAAGACCTTGATAAATATTAAATAAGTTAACCTGCAAGGCTGCGGATGTAGCTCATTGATAGAGTATGTTCTGATTGCACATGAGACCATGGGTTCAATCCCCACGAAACAAAACAAGAGCCATGTGTGGTGGCATGAGTTTGTGGTCCCATTTACTTGGGAGGTTAAGGCAGAAATGTCACTTGAATCCAGGAATTGAAGCCCAATCTGCGACCTAGTGAGATTTCATTGCTTCGGGGGGAAAAAGGAAGAGAGGAGGAAATGATCTGGTTAAATTAAGGTACATTCATATAATGCAATAATATGAAGTTCCTAAAAGAATAAGCAAGACTGAGATTTGCAAACAGATGGCCCACAGACATGCTGTCTGTCTGAGACCACCATGTGTATAAAAATTGGTTGAGGGGTGGAAGGGATATAGTGAATGCTCCTCCCAATTTGTGTTCAGTTCCACCTCCTAAGCCAAGGAGCACCCAGCAGGGATTGGAACATATGTGTGAAACAGTGGACTCATCTGGAATCTCTAGAAAGGGAGCAGCCACAGGACTGTGGCTTCCTAGCTGGGTGGAAGGGGGTGGGGGCCGAGGCCTGGAATTAAGCTCAGTATTCTGGGATTCCCCAGAGGAAGAGGATCCCTGGGATCCCATGCATGTAACTCTCTTGGGAGGCCCTAGAAGGGTTTTCGGCCCTGGGGAAAATGTGGGAGAGCTACATGGGGTGGAGGGACATTTTCTCCATCTCTGAGTGTGGGAGCTTGCCAACAACTGCATTTGCTTCAACTGGTGGTCATCAGAGGAGCAGCACCTTGTGCATTACACCATTTCTCTCTACTGCATGAGAGACCTTAAAGGCTTTCTCTGAAAGGCCAAGAGCTGTGAGTACAAAAAAAAAAAAAAAAAAAAAAAGAACACAAACTTAAGGACACCCGTGTACCAGAGAAAAGCAGATAAAATAGAATATTTCCAATAGTGGTGAGTAGAATTTCCCATCAGTATCACCACCATCATGACCATCACCACCATCATCATCACTACCACCACCACCCAGTCGTCACCATCATTGCCACCTTCACTATGACCACCATCATCACCACCATTACCTTCATAACCATCACCATCACCACCACTGTCATCCCACCTTAGGAAAACTGTTCATGGCATAAAATGAAAATAGCAAATCATGATTTACAGAAGGAGGAGAGGGAGGAGGAGGAGGAGGAGGTAGGGACACAGGTAAAGAAATAATAAAATTTCTTTGGCCGATGGGGTAGCAAACCAAATACTCAGTAACCATTAAAAAATATCACACAAACAAATCAAAACTTTAAAAAAGTGTCACTGAGCAGAGCAAGGAAGCACCCTGGCCAACATCAAAGTGAAAGCAGAAAGACAAAGAATTGAACTGATAAGTTGTGAAACTCCAACTGCCTGGGGGGCTCCTGCTGAAGCCTTTTATCCCTGGCCGTGCTGGGGACACAGGAGACCAGAGGGCAGGAGTAGAGATCATCAAAGACAGAGCCTCTGATGGGCCACTGGATAAACCCAGGGCCACAGAGATCTGTGCATTCAGGGGAAAGATGAAGTAGCCAAATCAAGAGTATGACAAAGTTTATCAATACGTTAGGTTTCTCAACACATATTTAAAATCCCTGAACAGGCAAACAAGACAACATGAGTGAAAACCAGCTCAGATACAGCCAGAAGAATCACCCCCACGAAAAGCTGGGGTACTGAAATTATCAAGTATAGATCACTGAATGAATGTATTGACTACTTCTAAAGAAATAAAAGAGGCAATTGAAAGTCTCAGTAAGAAATAAGAGAATATAATCAATGCCTCAAATGTGGAAGAAGAACCAAACAACATGTAAATATGAAAAGCAAACTAAATAGAAACTTAATGGATGGGTTAAATTGCAGATTAAGACACAAAAGAAAGAGACTGGACTGGATTATAGGTCTAAAAAAAATTACCCTGAATCCAACACAGACCTGAGATATGGAAAGGGTGATAGGAGAATGAGAGAGAGAGAGAGAGAGAGAGAGAGAGAGAGAGAGAGAGAGGAGAAAATATCTAAAATATATCTAAGCAGAGTTCAGAAGGGGACAGAAAGAATGAGGAAGAGAGAATCACTGAGAATTTTAAATTGGCAAATAACAAGGAATGCTTGGTTTGGTAAATAAAAAGAAATGCAACCTATAACATACACTAAAGTGTATCAAAGACAAAGGGATTTTAACAACAGCTAGAGAGAAAGTAATAACAGCTACAGCGCAGGTAGTAGTAACTAGGTTCTGGACTTTGTCTGACCCTCTGCACTTACTGGCTCTTGCAACCCTCTAAGGAACTGGGTAAACTGAGAGCCGACGTCTCCATGACAGAAGTGAGGCCAGATGGGGAAGTGGCATGTTCAAAATGCCAAGAGAA